AGGGAGGGCTGTATCTGCTGTTTGGGAACATGTGTCCTCACAGCACAAGAGATAACGGGGTGGCTGGATAGACAGAACAATGGCAAGAAATGGACATACAGGCTATGCAGAAATGGAAAATGAGACATGGTGAAGAGAGCCCATTCCTCTCAAAGTCTTCTGCAATATCTATCCCACCTCCTTACCTGCGACTGGGGACTGAGCTTGGAGGCTTTTTCCCTCCTATCACTATTTTAAATGTGACCCAAGGTGCTAGTTACTGCATGGGATGGTTTGCTATTGCCGATGGGAAGTGAGTCATGGAATCACAGAATCATCGAATCATTATGGTTGGAAGAGACCTCAAAGATCATCAAGTCCAAACGTATGATGCCACCATACCCACTAAACCATGTCTGAAAGTGCCACATCTAAACGTTTTTTAACACCTCCAGGGATGGTGAGTCCACCACCTCCCCGGGGAGCCCATTCCAATTCCTAATGACTCTTACAGTGAAGAAGTTCTGCCTAATATCCAACCTGAACCTCCCCTGGTGCAACCGGAGACCGTTTCCTCTTGTCCTATCGCTAGTTACCGGCAAGAAGAGACGGACCCCCACCTCGCTACAACCTCCTTTCAGGTAGCTGTAGAGGGCAATAAGGTCTCCCCTCAGCCTCCTCTTCTCCAGACTAAACAACCCCAGCTCCCTCAGCTGCTCCTCATAAGACTTTTTCTCCAGGCCCTTCACCAGCTTTGTTGCTCCTGAGTCTGCTCAGTTTGTACTAGGCAGTTGCCTGCATTGCCCCAGAAACACAGTGCCTTTGGCAGCAACTCCCATGAAATGCCCAGCGGCTGAATGGATTTTGGCCACGACCTCCCCACCCCGGCTTCGGGCAGTTGGGCAGGGCTGGGCAGGGCTGCTCCACCTCCGTCCTGAACAAAGAGCTTTGTTATTCTGGTGCCTTTCACTGGCAAATGAAACATCCCCCCAGAGAAAAGCGTATATCAGCATCAACTCAGCAGGCAAGGATCCAGGACAGGAGGTGTGAATTAAAGGCCTGCTACAGCGATAATGATCATAAATAAATACTTGGCAATTAGCATCTAATTAGCACATCCCCTCCATTGACCTCCAAGCACTTGGATAGAGGAAGATTAGCCTGGTTTACCCATTTTACAGAAGAGGGGAACTGAAGTGGTGAGGGTGCCAAACACAGTGTTACTCCTAATTTCAGGAGGTCAGCTGCCCGGGCCTCATCTTTATGCTTGCTCAGCACTTACCACTGCAGAGCACAGGTGGAGGGGGCTGGAGCTCGGCCCCTCTGAGAAGCTCGCTTCATCACAGGTTAGACAACTCTTCAAGGACAGGGGTGGCTCAGAGAGGTGGCCTGCTATCACAACAGCAAGCGCGCCGATTTGCCTCAGGCTGGACAGCAGGAAGGGCTAACAACCCGGGGAACCTCTCCTGTATTTCCCATGCCTTGGGAGCCCCCAGTGCGCCTAACTGCCCATCCAGCTCTCAGGCACCTGCGCTGTCTGTGGGTGTTTGCAGGACGCAGGCAGTCGGCTGCTCTCCAGCTCACCCGGCTGCAGTTCCAGTCCCACTGCTCTCCCCAGAGAGAGCAGGTCTGGAGCTAGAACACCCCACAGTCCCTGCTGAGAGCCCAGCTGGAAAAGTGGCCTTGTGCCATGGTTTGTGCTGCCTGCCCACCTGGCAATGGTCCCATGCTGGGGTGCAGGGAGATCACCCAAAGGAGACAAGCGCTGAGCCCTCACAGCGCTGCTGGCCAGCTGGGGGGCCGGAGGGGAGCTCCGGGAAGTCGCCCCAGCTGCCAGGGATGTGTCCCAGGCAGGCAGTGCTGCTTCATCAGACGGTCACTCCTGCCTCTGTCCCCTGAGAGCCCGGAGCTCATTGCAGTGTGGCAGTGCTCCAACTCACTACCGCAAGAGGTACTCCCATCTCTCTTGTGAGACCCACAACTGTTAGTCACTGCCTGTCATTAACCTCCTAATAAAATGAATCGCTCCTTTTACCCCAAAGGAATGGGGTGAACTTCCCTTCCCTGCTCTCAAAGGACCAATAGCCACTTTTCCCCTTTGGTGATGCGCTGCAATATCGGTTTGTCTCTCTGAAATCAGGCTATTGCCATGTTATTTCTTCTATTTAACCTATTTCTTGACGTCACTTTCTCTCCCTGACACTACCTAAGCATATCCACATGTCTCCTCCTCACTCCTGTGGCTACACTGATTTGCAAGTCATCACATTCCTTCTGTCTCGTATGACATCACATAGCATGACTTCCCGTTGTCTGCATCCTGTGATGTTGTTCCTTTCTGGCCCAGACAAAGCTACTCAAGTGCTCACAGCCTCTCAGTAGTCTGTGGCAGCCAGGTGAGAAACTGCACAGACCAACATGGCATTGGAAAGAGCACAAATGAAAAATTACGGGAATTGCCTAACTTGAGAAACACCAAACATCATCCTGAACAAATGACTTATCCGTGTCAGGCTCTACTGCCTCAGTGGCACTCTATATCCTCATCCTACTCCTTCTTCTACCTTCTAACAAATATCTCCCTGGCATGTCGTCACTTTTAACAAGTCCGATGATCTCTCTGAATCCAAAGCAGAAGACAAGGGGGAAACAAATTGAATGTATCTTGGTGCAAGAAAGGAAAAGACAACAAGAGGAAAGGAGAAAAAATTGAAGCAAAACCAGTGCAAAGCAAAGAATTTCACTGCTTCCTTTACATCACGAAACTCCCCACCCCTAGAAGGAAACACTGGTGATTAAGACAGACATTAAGGAGATGTAACTGACTGGTTGTCAGTTGTCAGCTGGTCACATCGTCCTCTCCCCACCTCCTCCTCCTCTTCTGTCTTTCGAAGCACACCAAGTGTTTTCCTACCTGTGACATTGACTTCCACCAAGCCCGACCGTGTACCGATGGCATTGGAGGCCTCACAGATGTAGGTGCCAGCCACGCTGTAGGAGACAGGCCCTTTAAAGTAGATGGTGTTGTTCTGGATTTCCACGCTCCCCGGCAGAGTCCCGTTTGGCCTAGGGGAAACAAAGATCATGGCTGACTTCAGAGATGATACTCAGTAGGGTCAAGCAGTATTGCAGAGGTGACAGGCTGGTTCTGCGCTTGCCCTTGGGCACATCCAGAACCTGGTGGTGCTGGCTGGAAAATACCCATTAATGTAGTCAGCCTTGAAACCAAACCCTCAGACAGCAGCATTACAGGAAAGAGTCAGCAGAGTGTCTCCAGGATAAATCCATTGCATGATGAGAATCAGGTTCTTTAGATGGATTGTTTTTTGGGGGTTTTCCCTTTTCTGTGATTACAAGGGAGATTGGACATACTTGGGTCATGTACAGCCCCTTGGATTTGGCTAATGGGCTGTGGAACACTTTCAGTGTATGTTCTGCCCTATCTAGAAAACAAACTCAGAGCCTTAAAGCAGTTAATTTCCAGCACAATCCCTGAGGAGGTACAAGCTTAGGGTAAGATGACCAGGTCACTCTTGTTTCAGGTGGCTCACCTCTAGCAGGCTCATCTTCAGAGTGTTCCTCCATCCCTGACTTTCCATTTGATGGAAAACACAAGAATGGAACACCAACCGCACCCGGCTTTACTCCAGTTTCCTGCCCATGTAACTCTCCTGGACATCTGATCAGCCAGTGTTAATTGCAACTCAAGCTCGAGTAAAGCAGTGCTGATTTAGAGCCCTGCCATCTATGACCTGCCCATGTCAGAAGAGTCAGGTAAGTGTGAAACTGGAATAATGCAAAACTAAGTCTAGAGATACACCGAATAAATGAACAAAGGCAGATGAAAAATTAAAAAACCCCTTTGTGTTAGGAAAAGACACACATGGCCTGGTTATTCTTAATTACTGAAGCAAAGTAAAGTAATTACTTCTCTTAGGCAATTAAAAATTACTCAAGTAATTCTTTCCCCTCCTCCCAACAAAAATGTGCACATATTGTCAGCAATTTGTAAGAAACAAAAGGGAATAATGGGGTATAATTAGGTTTGTATAGAAGTGCCTAAACGCACACGCACATATTTTGCATGTCTACATATACACATAGGCACATATGTATAGCAAACACATTAATCTTTACCAGCTACTACATCAAGCCCATGATCCCAAAGCTGATGGAAAAATAGAATAGCCTAATGTTGGTTCTCTGCCTATACTGCCCTGAATCTACAAAGACAAGGGCACATCTAAAAACTGTGGTGCGGGATGCTAAAGAAGGCTGCTGCTTCTCCTAATACCTCCCCTGACTGTTCCTCATCATGACCCAAATGAGACGAGAGAAAAGCATGACTGGTTTTTACATTCCAGGCAGGAGCAAACCAGCAGCAGCAGTAATTGCTTCCTGACCCCCAGGAAGGGGAAGAGGCACATATGAGCTCATGGATAGACCAAAGCTGCTGGTGGCTATTTCTCTGGCTGCCCAGCCAAAGAAATGAGGAATCAGTTTGATATTACCAAAGTGGCACTGTGGGAAGGAAGGGGATGGCCACAGATCTTATTATTCCCATTCCTTACCTCCCTACATACACACGTGCCACATGCCTAGCTGGTTGGCTGCAGTACAGTTATTTATCAGGCTTTCATCCCATCTGCTCAGTCTGCCTCTTCCTTGCAGGGCCTTGCTCACAGGCAGCCTGGGGCCGAGAATGGGAGAGTAGGAGTCTGGGCTGAAAGAGCCAGGGGGCAACTCTGTACCTCAGATTTTTCTTCCTTCTCCCCTTCTGCCTCTATTTCCCCCAGTCTCACTTGCGCTCTCTCTCTCTCTACTTTCCTCATCTTCCACCTCCATTCCCCTAACTAATCTTCAGCTGCACTCCATCTTTCCTTTCTATCCTCTCAGGTCAATAATCCTAAACTCAGTCCTAACTGACCCACTAAGTGTGCGAAAAGTGAGAGGCTGGGGAATTGAACTGAAGCGCTATTGGGCTTAGAAACCTGTGCTCTTTAATTCCGTGCTTTCTCTCTCTCCATTTTCCTCCCCACAGTTCCTTCTCAAAGCAAAGTATTGATGGTCCCAGCCTCTTAGCTGGAAGTCAAGAAACCCTTGCAGGCTAAAGACAGACAAATGAACATACACACAGCTCACAGAGAATCCATAGAAAAACAACTCTTTCCAGTGTTAAAAAAAAAATAAAATCAATCACACAAGCACATAGGGACCCACTCAACGCCTGGCTCAAAGACGTGCTGCTCCCAAGAATCGTTTCTGCCAGAGCTGAATTTATTACCAGCGCAGTGTGTAAACCAGGTGTGCAAATGTCACGTCATACTCAGACCCAGTCATGCAGCGCCATGCTCAGCCCTGGCACCTGCATCCCCTGTTCTGTTTGAGCCTCATTGGTAACTAACCCTCTTTCCTGCCCTGGGCTACAGAAACATCACCTGGCTGAGACATTTGGCACCTGGTTACCCCATGCTTCAGCTCTCAGCCTGCCTTCAGCATCACTATCACGGCAGGAGCAGACTGCCCCAGCAGAGATCAGGGGCTGCTTGTGCTGCTGGCTGTGTCTGTACACAGCGACAGAGCTCCTGCCACGGAGAGCCTGATGCCTGGGAGCTCAGCAAGTGCTCAGTCTCCAGCCCCACGTGTGAGCAACAGCAGAACAAAGGGATGAAATGACTGGCCCAAAAGCAGAGAGAAAACCTGCCTCCTGTCCCCAGCTCCATCTCACAAGGCTTGCTTCAGCTCAGTTCCCCAGCCCTGTTACACAGAGCCAGCCTAAATTGGGATCTCTTCTGCCTTGGGTGCCACAAGGGGCATCTTTGCCTCTAACACTTCCCTGGCAATGTTGTGAGGAACCCAGAGAGCCCCCTTGGAGTTTAAGTCGAACTGGTAGAACCAACAGAGGGAGAGAGCTGGGGACGAGAACTAGAAAAAAGGCGAGAAAAACAATCCTCTTCAGACTTTCGCTGTGAACAGTTTGATCTGGGAAGTGGAATGAGAGTGAATATGCCTAGCTCCTTGCAAAGCCATTTTGAGAGCCTCTTTCCTGATGACAAATGCCAGCTGAAAAGAAGAAAGGATCCATTTGATCTTTCATTTTTAAAGCTATGTGAGTGCTTACAGAAAAGAGAGAGAGGGAGAGAGAACCACAGCAGGTTGTATCAATTCCCATTTGACTCCCCAGACACCCCTCGCTCACTTCTCAGTCCCTTTAGTGTGTTCAGCCAAAAGCTGAAACCCTGGAGGACAAGGAATTGCTTCTGTTTAATGTCAGTTGCGCGGGGATGAGTGCTCCGAAGGGGAGCTCCTGCTTACAGCTCGGGCTGATTCCAGGGAAAGGTTTTTCCACATGCAGGCAAATTTTGTGCTATTTGTGCCCCTTTAAGGAAGGGGAATCCTGGGTTCTTTTCCAGCTGTGCTACTGAAGCACTTAGTAGTGCTGGGCAATCTATTCACCGTATCAGATCTCAGCTGCTTCACGTCACCATGGCAGACTATTATTCCAGTGAAGTGAGAACATGAAGTTATCCTGGGTATTGAGGCTGCACTGGGCTGGTAGCAAGCTCCGTCCCAGCCCAGTGGAGAGGGGTTGTGTATGATCCTTACCCAGTGCCCTTCCCTCATAAGTCTGAACTGGAAGATGCTGGGGGAAGACCCAGCTGAAAGACAGGGGATAACGTCTGTCCATTGCAAGGTGAGGTGGCTGTATGTGGCTCAACTAAAATGCTAGTCTCAGCTCTGTCAGCTGGGGCCACAGGCCACGTGGAACTTCTGATAAAGCCCATCCACCCAAAATAAGTCGCTTGCCCTAGTCGCTTCAAACACTGCACTGCCTGCCTCAAAACCACAGGCTGCCCTCGAGACAGGGCTGGCAGGGCAGCAAGGCTTGTTTTGGATCTGAAAAGCTCAGCCTCAGAGGATGGCCAGCACTCAGAGGAGGGAGTGAGCCAGAAAGGCCGAGGCTGAAGACAGCAGCTTCCCTGCTTTGCAAATAAAGAAATTAGTTCCAGTCCCCGTGCAATGAAGGTCTCCTGGCAGAGCTGTGCCAGGGAACCAGAATCAGCTCTGAGCGTTCTGCAGAGCAGAGCTCCAGCAACTAGAAGTGTCCAACCCTCCCCTCACATGCACAGGTTTTACCTTGGAGTGACATCACTGACAGTAATGGGACTGGGCCTTAATTGACCAGAGGGTGACTGAGGTTTCTACAGAGACTCCTTGGCCCTGTTTGAAGATCTTACGTGCTGCTGAGAGCAGAAGCACTGTAGGTACTTACAGCTTCCATTCATAGGTGTGAGCTGGGGGGTTGGCATCAGATTTACATATCAGCTTCACATCCTTCCGGTTGAGAAACCAGTTGCCATCGAAGCCCTCAATAGTGACTTCTGGCTCATCTGCAGGGAGATGAAAAAGATAGAAAAGGAGAGGAAAGAGTTATGGAAAAGAAAGGGGGAGAAAATGAAATAGGAAGAGATGAGGGGGCAGGGGTGGGAGAAGGAGAGAGATTGCAAGGTGGAAATGATGATGGGACAAGGAATGTAAGAGAGGGCAAATGATGGAGAGAGAGAGAAGGGGAGGAACAAATGGACATAGCAGAGGCAGAGAGAGAAAGAAAGTGTGAAAAAGAGAAAGCATGTGATTAGTCCAAGGGATCACTTCAGTTTTCACTCTCCAGAAAAACAGAGCAGCCCCCTGCTTCAGCCCCTCCACCAAACCAACACGTTCCCTTCAGAAAAATCCTCTTTTGCCTGACTTTATCACCCACCCCAGGGACCGACCATGGAGTACTGCTCTCCAGCCCTGCCCATGCTCACTTACACTGCACGTTGAGGGTCATGCTGTCGGTGAAACGATCCAGCTGGTAATTGACCACACACATGAGCTGCTGCCGGTGAGCCTCCCGGCTCGGCAACAGCCGGTAACGGCTGATCACCGT